ATGTACAGCCATGGGAGTCATATTCCTCCAATGCTCCTCCTCATCCCTCTGGGAGTGGGGAGAGGAGGAGGAGGGGGAAGTGAGCGAGCGGCTGCGTGGTTCCAAGTTGCCGGCTGGGCTTAAACCACGACACAGGTAGAAACCCTCTCCATGTTCCCATACCTAGAGGGGCTTGAAATTAGGCACTGCCAGGATCTGGGGGAAGCAGCCTTCACACAAAGGGAAATCTCTGCTTTGGTCAGCACCACCGGCTGCCCTTGACATATCACAAGAGCACCTTTAACAAAGTACGTCCCAAGTTCTCAAGCAAAAAGCAGTAGGAGGCTTTGCCTGGCTTTCCATGCAGCAGCATCACCACTTAAGGTCTCAAATCCTATTTTCCAAAATAAAACACCGATTCACCCAAATCAACCCCCATGATTCACACCCCTCCACCCTGCCCAGCAGCTCCTGGAGCACAGCTTGAACTGCTGACAAAGCTTTTGCATGGCACAGAGCGCTCAGTCTAAACCTAAACTGGGAACCAAACTCCAACCCAGGGAAGTTTCATGTTCCCCCGGAGAAGTTTTGTGCTGGTTAAATGATCTCCCTAAATATTAGAGGCTTTGAGTAACTTTACTAGGTGTTCAAGGCAACTTGAAGTGTCCTTTCAAAGGCTGGCATGCAATGCAGTACTTAGAATGGACCAGTAAAGCCCTTGAGCTGTGAGAGCTGCCCTCTTCCCACAGCCACCATCCTGTAGCACTTCACAGTGATCAGTCACTTCAGTCAGAAGCTCCAACTCACAGTTCTGCTACCCCAAAAGGGCAAATCATCTCCTTCTGCCACACTGTGTTTTGTATTTCCCATTTATCTCACATGCCCCTATAACACCTCAGCTCTATGCACCGTTATCCCCAGAAACAGCAGCTCCCAGCCAGGCAGGGCACAGGATGCACCACCCTGTACCCTCTGCACTGAGAGCAGCAGCACCCACCTGTGTAGAGGTCTGTGTCCGTGTACTCATCCACCTTCTTGTGCTGCAGGACGTAGTCAGACACCTTGGCCCCGATGGCAGGCTGCACGTCCAGCCACTCCAGAGAGACCACGGTGCTGGAGGGCTCCACGCTGGGGGAGAGCCGCAGGCTGGGCAGGAGACAGGAAAGACACCAAGTAAGACATCAGCTCCCTTTCCAGGGAGGAAACCACCTCTGCAAGCAGCACAACCCAGGCAGGGCTCACACTCATATGCAGGGATGTGCACGGGGGAGAGCAGGTAGGTGAGCATGGAAGAGCTTCCAGTTGAAGATCAGTTACAGCCTACTCAACGTGTGTCCTTACCTCCCCCTCCTCCTGGGAAAGCCTAGGTCACGCAATCACAACCATGCAACCCAAGCATCCATAGAAACATAGAATGGTTTGGGTTGGAAGGGACCTTGAAGCTCATCTAGTTCCAGCCCCCTGCCATGCGCAGGGACACCTTCCCCTAGAATCCCATCTAAAGGAGGCTTCATCTCCTGAACTTTAGCAGCCCCATGGGAAACCAAGGAGCAGAAAAGACAGGGAGGCTCCAGCTTAACCTTCATATAACCCAGCAGGGTTGAGTTTACAGGAGGGGAGGGTCTGGTCTGCATTGCCAGAGCAAAGGGAGGGAGAGAAGGGGCAGGTGTGGCTCTGAATTTACCCAGCTGCAAGTGAGCAAACCTCTGATGGGTGTGAACATCAGCCAAAGCAGGGCAGCTGTGCAGGAGCTCCTGCCCAGGCCAGGGATGACGTGGGTAAGGGACAAGGCAGAGCAGCTTTGTGCTCCTGGCTGTGCTAGTGCGAAGGCATCTGCTCTCTTTGCACCAGGGTAAATGACAACACGAAGTACAGGGCTACAGAGTCTCCAGCTCCACACATACAAGTGTGTTTGTTGGACTCAGGATGGGAAATGAATCCCCTCTGAGGATATTGGCTCACTAAGAAGGTGTTCTGCTCCTTGTGGCTCACTGGAGCCAGTCTTCCTGCTTTCTCAGCTAATTCCCCATCAGTTTGCTCCTGATTTGCTCTTGCTCTGAAAAGCCACAATGAATTGCACCGTAATTCCATTTCTTTCAGCATTTGAAATCCCATTCTACAAGCCTTGCTAATCAGGTGATGAAAATCTACAAGGAAACTTTCCAGGGCCACAGCTGGAGCCAGGATATCCTAAAGGCATCAGTCTCACATTAAGGAGTGCTGGCCTGTGGCCCCAGGGCTCACAGGTGAGGGGCAGGAGGTGCCCTTGGGCTGAGCCTATGGGAAGGGGATGGTACTGGGGGGCTGTGACCCACGGGAGGGGCTCTCATGGATACGTACACGGGTGGAGGGAGAGGGCTGCAGTTGGGGAGTCCGTTCTCATCGAAGGCGTTGAGGTCGCACCTGCACCAGTCTTCAATCACATCGCCTTTCCCCGAGCACCAGTATGAGCTCATCAGGGCTCCCTTGAAAGCCTGACGTGAGAACAAAAAGCGTGAACACGTGTGCTAAAGACTCGGTGAAATGCAGCCAGCAGCACGACTGTGCAGGACTCAGCATCAGGGACATGTGCGTGCAGAGCCCCGGCATCAGGAGACGCAGGGTGGATCTCCGCAGCTCTGCCACAGACCCTCTGCATGGCCCTGGGCAAGTCCCTTCACCTCCCTGTGCTTTAGCTCCTGAGTATCGAGTGATGCTGGTTCATCCCTGGGTGGGGATGGACACGATCCTAAAGAGGGGATGTCCTGTGTTAGAGGACTGAGCTGCCTGAAGAAACATTAACTTAAGCCTGTTGTGTCACCAAACATCATATGTAGGGTACCTGCTGCTGTGCACAATGAAATGCATCCCCGTGCCTGCCCCATAGCTGTTTCTGTCCCTCATATATTAAAGTAATTCCTACATCCCCAGCCACACAGCTCACTTCCATCCTTCTCATCGGTTATTCATAGGAGCTGCCCTCCTGCAAGCAAACTGCTGCTTTATTCACTGTGTAAGGAATACTCACAAGCAAAACAGCAGTATGTGGAAGCAAAAGACAAAATCCCATTAAATACTTGCAGGGTACTTGCCCAGCTGGGCAGTCTCCTCTCTGCAGGCTGACCCCAGCCTGACCAGAAGCCCTCCCAATGCTCTTAGTGATGCCAGCGGATCCCCAGAATAACAGCTTTTCATCTGCTGAGTCTGAGGCTGAAACACTAACTGAATTCCCAAAGCCCTCCAGGTCTAGCCCTATGGTGTGTTCCCTGCAGCTTGGTGTTGGTCCCCACACTGCAGCATGAAGCATCCCTTGCTCTATACCCTGCTGTAGTTCAAACTGCACTGATTTATAGTGGTTTCTCCTGCTACTCTTTGCCTGTTGTGCCTAAATAAACCCCCAGCTTAGAAGACAGGTCTCTCCCTGCACAAACACACACACAGAGCAAACGTTCACTCCAACCCCATAAAGCCGCAAAGCCCTGCTAGAATAATCGTAACACCAAAACTCCATCCACTAAAACAAACCTTTTTGTAATTCTTTTGACCTTTTAAAAGGCACTTTTTGGGGTTGAAAATCACTCAGAAGTCCTCATTCATGTACAGCAGCCCAGCTCGCAGCAGCTCTATTCCACCTATTCAAAGCTGCCTGCGGATGCCTGGCCCCAGCGATACTGCAGGTCACGCCTTAAAGATAAAACCCTGCCCTTTGAGGGGGACAAGGACAGCTCCAGCAGCTCCGGTATTGAGCAGAAAGCTCTAGGAAATGCACCATCCGGGAAGGTTTCTGAAAGCAGGGATATAAATAGAGCCTGACGTCAGGGCTCCCATTGTCCAGAGCCGAACATCCCCAGCACCTTTAACCAGGCGCCTCGAAGCTTTCGTGTCTGAAACAGTTTCTGCTTCCAGGCATTTTACAAAATGGGACTGTTCCAAAAGGGAGGGAAAAGAAAAGGAAGGAAAAACCATGTAAAAGAGAGAAAATGTGATGTTATTTTACTTTGTCCTTTAGACTGGAACTGAAGCGCTGGGCTTGGGGAGGGTATTGCAAAGTAAGGGGAGCAAGGAGAGAAGAGTTTATCTGATACATGAATAAATGGGTGCAGATACACTTGTGTAGGGAGCAGCAGGGCTGTGCAGGGCAGAAACACAAAATGATTCATGTAGATGGATGGGGAAATGTATGCTCTCCATAGGAAGCAGGGTAGACACATATGTTGTGGGTCCATGTGCGCACAGACATGCACTGCGGGTGAAGACAGCCACTGATTGATCCTTCTGCTGTCACCCTGTCCCCATCCCCAACCCTCACTGCTCTCCCTGTACATCCCAACCCAGGGAAGAAACCTCACCCACCTCATCCTTGCCCTTTAGCCAAATCCAATAGTCAATTCCTTTGTTCTATTTCCTTGTTTCTGCTCGTAAGTACAAGGCAGGATGAGCGATCCCTGCTCTGCCTGCCCAGCCTCGCACACGTTTCAATTAAATACTGCAGGCTCCCAGCCATCATCTGCCTTGTGTCAACCTTCACACAAACAAGGTTAGCTCAGCGATGCATCCTTCCATTGCTCTCATTAAAGCACCTACATGCACTAACCAGATTACTCAGAGCACGGCCAGTCCCCGGTGCCAGCATCCAGCTGACGTCAGGGCCAGGACTCACCTTCTCTCACTTTCTAGCAGGATTCCAAGCCAGCAGTTTCTAGGATCTTCCCATCAGTGCTGGGGAGAGCATGGCAAAAGGTGGGAAAGTGGCAAGTGTGAACTGATGGGTGGGAAATGGGTAAGACCATGCAGAAAGAAGGGACGAAGCTCTCTGCACAAAGGTGCTCACCATCACTCTACACCCTCCACGGGGATACCAGCCTGCTGTGTGGGAACAGTTGCTCCTCAGAAACTTCAGGAGAAACAGAGGGTCTCCATGAGTGTTGAGGACTCTCTGGTCCTCCCAGTACTGAAGTCAGACACAGTGTTTGCTATAGCTCACACACAGCCCACCCTTGATCTCCTCGGCTCCTCAGCCTGCTCCAGGCTCTGGCTGCAGTGGCAGAGCCTGCTCGCAGGCAGAGATCAGCACTTGAAGTCGCCTTCCCCTGCAAAAGCAATAGCCCAGCCCAAAGGTGGCAACCCTGTGAAAACCTCTCCTTCCCTTTCTCCTTCTGACAACGTAGCCTGGGAGGTACAGGACTGATTACACAAACCCAGAGAAACAGCAGCTGCCACCCAAACCAGAAGCCCAACAGCACAGAAGACCAAAAGCAGTGGACAAAGGATGCAGTGAAGGTGCTGAGACCTGTCCCATGAGCAGCAGCAACCTTTGGGAGAGTTTGAAGTGGAATGCACAGGGACCTCCCTGGTTTGTGGTGGCTGAGGACCCTTCTTCATCTTCCTTGGAGTGGGGAACTCCTTTTGTCCTGCCATTCCCTGCTGCCATGCTTGGAAATGTGCAGCAAACCACCTCCTCCTCACCAGGAGACAGCACATACAAGGCCATCTCCACCATGACCATCACCACATGCCTTGCCATGGTGGTCACACCAAGCTACCAAACTGGGAAACCCCAACAGGCCCTACCAGCACGAGGGACTTCCCAGGAGCATCCCTGTGTGCTGGGAATGGCAGCATGGCCCCCAATGTGCTCACCAACCGCTCCTTGGGATCTGAAGGCCCCTGTGTGCCCGAAGGCAACTTTATCTTTCATTTCAAAGTATCCAGATTGTGTTGTTTCCCTGTGAGTCAGCCCATTTAGTTTATGTCCTTCAGTGCCAGAGGGGAAATTTATGAGATGAGAAACTGGCTTGAAACGTTTATTTTCTAGATGACGAGTCGTGCCATTAGATATATAGCATTATGAATCATAAGAACAGCATCTAATTTGCTCTTAAAGGTATAATAGGCCTGACTCCCCACACCCATACACACACATATATTGGATTGATAGTTCCCCCTTAGATGGCTAGTTCATTTGTTTTGACACAAGCAAGACTTACAGGTCCATAAAGTCCCATCTTACCATAAGTTAAGCCTATTCATAAAACAAATATTAGGGAAACGAACGATCAGCTAAGCACATTTATCCTACACTCAATTGCATATGGATCTTTCTCCTGTTGTTATTTGTGCTCAGGGGGAAGCCATTTGGGCCCATTTTATAGCTTAGACACTCTGCAACAGAATATAGAAGAACATTCCCTTTGTCCTCTGTTAGACCTGGCTGATGGAGGGAGAAGCATTAAGTTATTTCAAACTGTGGGGTTTCTTTTGACATCCCCAGAGAGGTAAATTGCAGAACATGAAGGAACCTTTTAGATCAGGATTTGCAGGACTCAGCAACACCACGGGGGCTGCTGTTTCCAGATGGGATACTGGAAATGGCATGTGCTTGGCGCTTATCGGTCAATATCTGGTCTTCTCCCTGGCTGGCAGGGATATGAAAACCTGGCTCCACTGTTTCTTTGTGGTTGGTGTGCACACCTCTTCTTCTGGGAGAACTAAAAAGGAAATACAGGGAGATTAAAACCACCACAAATGAGCATGTAGGCTGGACAGGGGTGTGCTGGAGATAGTGGGGATGATCCAGCAGCTGAAAGCGTGGCACATTGTGAGGTTTGCACTGTTTTCCCTGGTCTTTGTTTGCTTGTTTGTTCTTTTTCCCAATGCAGAAGGAACGGAAGAAGAATGGAATGAGGCTGGGTTGTGCCAACAGACAGGCTCAGCCCCGTGTGCAGGGACAGACCCCCAGTGATGACACCCCATGTGGAGCCTGGCGCAACAGGACCACTGACCTGAGCTCCCAGACACTGCTGTGCTCCAGGCAGACTGTAGATAGCAACAGCAACGCTGGTCATCAAGGGAAAAAACACGGGGCGTAGGCTCAAGCTGGGATTTCACAGCCTGAACGGGATGCTACCCTGGTGATAGGCTGGCTGGAGGAAAAGCTTTCCATGCCCTTACAGTAAAGCTCAGTGCTGGTCACAGGAGATAAATGCTGCCCCTTAGTCTAGACATGTCAGGGGCGGGGAGGAAGGAGGGGGAAAACTAAGGATTTCCCAGGCCAGAGACTCTTTCCAGGATCATGCAGTTCGCGTCTGAAAGTCTGCTCCAGGTTCACAGTGAAGGAGGATGAAGTTTCCCTACTGCTGTTGGCAGGTGATCTCATCTTGTGCTGCTCACACCCTGCCTGCCTCCGGCTGCCTGTCCCCAGGGAGCAGCATCACCAGCACTTCATCCCGGGAAAGCACATCAGCGCTTTGCCGGAAAGGTCAGGGTGCTGGAAGGGACCCAGGGTGGGCAGAATCCTGCTTACTGTTACTGATGGGATCCGAGGGAGCAGCAGAGGACACTGTAAAACCTGGCAGCAGGGGAAAGCAAAGCCCCGTGCTGTGGAGCCAGCTCCACTTTCACACCTCGGCTACAAAGCTCCTCATTCTAGCGGCGCCCGGGCGGTTACAATGCTGCTATTCTTCCCCTGGAAACGCGAGTCGGATGTGGGCTGGAG